GTCTCTCCATGTCTGTCTCTCTCGCACACACATGCACGCACGCGCACACACACTCACCCCTACGCAGCCTGTTAACAACATGAAACAATAACATGGCAGCTTCTAAGAGGTAGAATACTTAACAGGAAGTTGCATTGACACAACAATTTTAGAGCTGACTCATTTTTACAAACAAAACCTGACATTTTGGGGACTCAAGTTATTTCACTTAAATATGGTGGGGAGTTTCCAATTTAAAGAACAGAACCTCCCAGAGAGGCAATGGGGACCTCTGATCAGGAATCACCACACTCCAGAAAGCATTTCGGAAGTCTGGTTTTTAAAATGTGTGGAGTTTTGTTAAAGAAAGGCCCAAAAGGAGCCTGGCTACAGTGAAATATTCATATAAAGCTATCATGATCCTTGACTTTATTATGTTTCCCCAATCCTACCAGATCCAAAATATCAGACATTTTGAAGAAAGGACTATTTTTCTGTGCAGTTTCAGGACTGTTGGCATTCCATGTAGTTTCCATAAAAATCCTCTCGGGTATTTTTGGAACTCAAAAGAGTGAATAGGATTAACTTACAACTTTGTGAGAAGAAAAAATGAATATTCACTTTCTCTTAGAAGAGATTTTCTCTCTGCCAGGAAGCAGGAGTGATTGATTTGTTGGGCTCATTCCCCAGCTGAGATCTGGGCGGGTGCTTCCAGCACCCAGGTTGGCACAGGGACCTGGCCCAGACACAGGTGGAGCCGCCTGGCATCCTTGGTCCTCAGCCTCCTGCAGAGACCAATGAACGAGAGACTTCGGGAGCAGTGCCTTCCAAGGAGACTGGTTTTGGGAAGCTCACACCTAAGGGGGAAGGGAGATGCAGAGACAGCTGGTCTCCTCTCCGAGGGTGATGTGCTGCGTGCCAAGAACTGGAAGTCAGCACTGTCTTCTTGTTCACTAATCCTTGGCCCCACCCACGCAACAGGAGTTTGTGAGCACCTAGCCTACTGCGTGTCCAGCGATCATACAGTGTATTAGGCTGAGCTACATCAAACTGCCATTTTATAGGTAAGAAACAGGAATAACAGAAAATATTTCATATGATTAAACCCACCACTTCGAGGTTTCCCTAGGCTGGTGTTACCGGGCTGCTGTGATGGCATCAGAGAAGGCGCAGAGAGCCCAGTCACCTTTGCTGTAGGAGTCTGGGCCTGCCCAGTTCCCTTCCAGGACA